GGTGCTGCGGAGATGGATCTGAGGGATGAAACCCTCTCCAGGATTGGGATTCTTTGCAGGATCTTCAGAAAGACACAGCATTTAACTAAGGTTTGGGGAAGGAACATGTGAAGGTGGGCATAAGTCAGGCAAAACTAGGGAGCGGGCTGCTCTCCATGGGGCAGTATCTTTCCCATTTTCCTAAAGTTTTTTTTTTTTTTTTTAGCTCAGATGAAGACGAGAGACCTTTTAAAAGAAACTTTCACTTCCTTCATGTGCTCTCTTGTCAGCCGAAATTGCCCCAAATGCTTCAAGCTGCTGCTTTTGAAGATGGATTGGTGCTCTTCTGTGGGGATGAGCCAGCAGCAGCAAACTCACCGGGCCCAGAGTAGCTTCACCGGAGGCAGCTCCAGGCAGCCCTCGCTAAAATTCCCGTCTGGCTGTGGTCCAGGGAGAGGGATCAGGCCAGGAAGCTCCTATGGAAGCAGCTCACTAGATCTTGTGTGTAGAGGGAGGCATCCACATGCAGAAAGAAATCCCGTGCTGGAGAGGCTATCCCTGCAGCGAGCCACACGGTGGCACAGTCACCTGGAGCAGCCTCCGAGAGCCGCGCAGCAGAGCCAAGCACGCGTGCAAGCCAGCACAGGGCGACAAACTCGGGTTGCCTAGTGCCAGTTTTCCACGGGAGGGACGGSGTGAGGCACAGAGCGAGCACAGGGCCACCCGGAGCCCCGTGGCTGCCGCCGGCTCCTGCCGTTCTCGCCCCAGTGCAGCGGCCGCGCGGCTCCTCGTGCGGCGCCCGCGGGCCACGGGGCGGCGGGAGGCAGCCACGGGCTCCCCGCAGCAGATGTCCGGGGCTACAGAAGTAGGTCACCTATTTCTGCCCGGCGGGGATYTGAAAATCAACACCACAGCCCTGACAGAGGGACGGCAGCGAGGAACAAGACCGGTCACAGAAGCCCCCARGCACAGACCCGCCAGGCCCAGCTAGTAGTTTAGAGTATGGCTAAAAAATAAATATACAATTTTTTTTTTTTGCATACACATCCACTCATTCACTGAGAGGGGAAGCTAATTTAAAAGTTAAAGAGAATAAAATCCACCCCCGCCACACTCTGCAAGCCTGCAGCCACCAGAAAGCAGCCTCTCCTTCAACATGAGATGTTGGACTAGAGACCTTCTTTTGTCTTTTTTTTCAGTATTATGCTTAAGAACTCTCAGGTAGAGTCCACAAGTCCAAGAGCTTAAAATAGCAAGGTATTTTGCAGAGCTCAACTCTGGCTTCAGCAGTGCAACCCAGCATAAGTTTCCCTCTCGTCACATGAGTTTGGGTTGGGAAATTATATTCCCTTTTGCACGGCCCAYTAGAAGGAGAGGAGAGGAAAAGGCGGACGGGACAAGGATAAACTGAGCGTGGCTGAGGCCGTGCACGCGCGGGGACGAGCCGGGCAGCGCGGCGCAGACGGGCACGCTTGGGAAGCGCCTCCCTTTCCCTGCGAGAGGGAGCTGCCGGCCACAGGGCCGCCTCGCTGCCCCCCACCCCGCCGTGCTCCTGTAATCAGCTTAGCTGCTGACAGCCCCCGGGCTCCAGGGCCAGCCCGAGCCCCAGCCCAGCTCGCACGGGGCTGCCCGAGAGCCGCTGCTCCCTCCGGCCCCGGCACCCACCCCTCTGCAGGAAGGGCCCGGAGCCCCCACCAGGAGAAGAGGGTCCCGGGAGCTCCTGCGCAGAGCGACCCGCGGATGGGCACGTGGTGCCAACGCAAACCACCACTGCAGCCAGGCCTGGTCAACAGCCCCATCCTCGGCTTGGTCGCACGAGAGGCCCTGGCTCCCACGGCGCCCAGACCCACACGCTGCCCCAGGGCGCCTCTCCCGGTGCTCCCTTGTTCCTGTGTCACCAGGCTGSTGCTGGATGTGCAAGAATCCTCTGCCACGGCACAAACCACACCAGGAGGGACAAGGGTGACTCAAGGTGCCGAAAACCCTCCCATGGTGATGGCAGGATGGTGAAGCCAAGCCCTGGTGATGGGCAAAGAGGTCAGTGCTTTGCCCAGGGCCCTGGGGCTGGTGGGGAGGTCCTGCCCTCGCCCCAGCAGCTTCGCCTCGGAGGTGCTAATAGGATCAGTCTTGGAAATGAGATTAGAAAACTCAATTTGAACATTTTGTTTCAACTAACCGGATTAGTTTTTGGCTTCAGTGAGGCTGTGCTTCTCCCTTCGGGAGCAAAACTGTGAAGCCTTGTTTGGAAACGCTCCTCCTTGCCTTGTAAAGCTACTTATTTTTTCAGTGTTTTGCGAGATGGTGGACTAAATATTAAGCCATTAAAATTCCTTAAGGAGGGAGGCTTGCTCTCCCCAGCCACGAGGCTTGCAGGGGCTCAGCAGGGCTGGCATCCCAACCAGCCCAGGCCGCCTCCCGCTGCAGAATCTCCCCACCGGSATCAAACCTGGGGCTACCTGCTGCGTTTTAGGGGTTCTCATTTGCCTATAACCACGAGTAACGGAAGGGCTGCAGCAGTTTCCAGATCTACCTGCAAATCCTGGGGAGGAGAGGTAGCAGCACAGTTGGATTACCAACTTAGATGGGAATAGGCATAGCACCCTGAGTGGTTTCAAAAATAATTAAAATAAGTTTTGGAAGTTCAATGACAGGACTTTTACAGAYCAGAATGCTGCTTGTGATGTCCCAAACCTTTCCCGACTGCAGAGCTGACACCCCGAAATGCCATGTGTGCCAATAGAGAAATCCTGCTGCTGCTCCTGAGCCACAATCCATCCCTTAACTCCGGGACACGTTTGCTCGGGATGGTGCCAATAGAGAAATTCTGCTGCTGCTGAGCCACGATCCATCCCTTAACTCCGGGACACGTTTGCTCGGGATGCGGGACAGGCTGGAGGCAGCGCCATTTACCGCTGCTCTCTCCCAAAGACAACCCTCGCGCATAGGGAGCCTGTACGGGTGGAAGCTACTGACAGCTGCTCCACTTTCCAATGCTTAATCCGCTCCAGATACCGCTCCTGRTGCCTGAGGCTACAACCCCTCATCCTCCTAACCACCTAGGTGCTTGCCTGAGGATGCCGGTTAACGTGGCGCTCTCCTTACCCGCTCCTGGGCCTGCGGACCCATCTCTTCCCTCTCCTTGTTGCTCACCATTCCCAGGGCATGGCGCCTSCTCCATGGACAACACAACCAGCACTGCCTAGGCGTGCGGTGCACCATGACGTGTGCTTGCTGTGGGGAGCCACTCACCCCTGGGAAGCACAAGTGGTGCCTCACAAGCGAGAAACACACACAGAARAAAGGAAAGAGGGACCACTAGGACAAATGCGGAGCAGGAAGTTGGGGAGTCCTCTGGGCTCAGCAGTGGCAGAACCAGGAACCTGCAGCCTGGGCAGGGCTTCAGCTCGCTGTCAACTGGTAGGAAAGACGTGGGAAGAAGCGGAAAGCGGACGCCATGTCCTGCCTTTTGTGCAACGAAGCCCCGCAACGCGTGGGATCCGGGTGAAAATGCCACCSTTACCCTGGGAAGAAGGGAGCCGGCGAGCACGCAGCCTCGCCTGCCGCCGCTCCTCTCCGCGTGGGGCTGTTCCCGCCGAGGACACCCGCTCCCGCGGCCCGACACCTCCTGAGGTGTAAAGAACGGSCGCGGATCAACGGCGGCCTTCAGCGGCCCTGCCTTCCTGGAGAAGCCACACGGGCTTCCCCTATCAATACGCTGTCTCTAGTTGTGGGTTTTTTTTTTTTTTT